AAAATTTCAGCTTTCTGGCTTTTCTGGTTCGCAAGTTAGCGATTTACACGCAAAAAATTTTCATGGGCCCGTACGTGTGTACCACGCGGGTAAGACCGCCTATTTTGGGATTGGCGCCCCTACGTGCGTGTTAATTAAGTTTTCAAAGTTTCAGCTCTGTAGCTTTTGTAGGTCTCGAGATGAAGAATCGATGCAGAGGCTCAACGCACACGCAGACACATATACACAGACAGACACACTCACAAAGACAGACAACCTCTCGTCAATATGCGTTTTCTGCATTGCATAGCAGCAAAAAATGCATAAAAACGCATATTGTGACAACCCCGGTGTGTATGTGCCTGTCCGGATAACACGGCACCCAAGCAAGCTTCGGCGCCAAAATTTTACTGTTGGGTTTTCCGGCCAAGTATCAACCCAGGACCGCGGTATCAACCCTCTTGCAGGTCTGCGCCACGCGTACGAGAGAGTGAAAGTTTTTGCGGGAAAATCGCTAGCTCGGGAACCAGAAAAGCTACAGAGCTAAAATTTTGGTGTTATGTCTCCCGTCTTCGTAGAACTCAAAGACTTCAAATTCAGCCCTCAGGTGTACGTGGTTTCCGCGTATGGTCCCGTTAGGTTTCCTGGCGCGAAAGTCGCTAACTCGGGAATCAGGAAAGCTGGGGAGCTGAAATTTCCAGGCACGTTCTTAGCACATATACAGCTTAAATTTATCAAATTCAGCTCCCGGGCATGCGTGATTCTCAAACATACGGCCCTGTGAAAATTTTCGCGCGAAAATGGCTAACTCAAGAACCAGAAAAGCTGGGAGGCTGAAATTTTCAGAGAACGCGCAAGTTCAACCCAAAATTATCAAATTCAACCCTTCAGCGTGTGTGGTATTCACGTACTGCCCAATGAAAATTTTTGGTGGAAAAATAGCTAACTCGGGAACCAGAAGAGCTGGTAGGCTAAAATTTCAGCAAAATGTTCCTTGTCCAAATACCGTATAGACAATTAACTTCTCAGACTTCGAGGATCAGTATATCACATATTCCTAGCTACTGGGTTACCGAGAGATCTCATCACAGCTCGAAATGTTGCAAAAACCCATGATCGCACGGGCTCACCCGGTG